GCGGGCCGTATCCGGCCCACGGGCTGTAGTTTTGCCCACGGCTGTACTAGGTGCTATGTGGGTTGCTTCACATTCTCTTGCACAGTTGCTCATGAGGCTTAGAGAGGGGAGGAACACGCCCAGGGTCACAAAACCAAGAGCCTGAGCTTGGAGTTCACCCCAAGTCTGTAACACTGAACACTATTTCTTATGCCTACTTCAACTGCTTTGCAAGTTTTTTCCCCTTTGCTAATAAGGCAGTAACTGTCTTCTTGTGAAGTAAGGGAGGATTTCGGTTCTTTAAATTAATTTTTTTTTTACAATATACAAAATAAATCTTTTACCAGATGGATTTGGGTTCTTAATGAACAGATCAATGTAGTTTAGTGGCCTGAAACAATTGGAAGTAGACTTTGGGATCCTAATTAAGTTCAAGATACTACATTTAAATATGTACATTTTATGTAAATAAGTGGAGGGGATTTGATGAAACCAGAGTGGCCTATGAACCTTAACTCAGGAAGCAAAGCTTATTGCAATTACTATACACATGTTCTCTAGACCCTGAGCCCCTTGTGGCCAGGCACTGTGTTTGATTTGATTCTGCATCCCCAGATAGCCCAGGGCCTGGCACAAATCAGGTGCCCTTTACATGCTAAAGAAGGCTGACCATTCAGAGATTGCAGATTACTGCCTTTGTGGAAATGTGGGTTCTGCAGCTGCAGTTGCTACAGCAGCAGACTTCTAGAGTTTTAGGAGATGGCATAAATCCAGTTTGAGTTCAAATCAAAACAAAACCAGAAACAAAATGATGTGTGACTTGGGGCATTAGAACCTGACTGTGGACTGGAAATGGCCCGATTTGCCATCTCAGGCTTCAGCTCAGCATAGAACACTGAATTCCACTTTACTTACCCACTCTGTGTACATAAGACAGGGTTATAAATGGCAATGGGAGCACAGATCCTCGCCTGTGGGCAGAGCAATGACTGATCCTTTCAGCAGGTGCTTTTCCCAGGGCACAAAAAAACTGCTTCTGGCATACAGAACCCCCCCTCCCCAGCAAAAAATTTGGGCACAATCAGAAGAGAGTTTGTCAATCTGTTTCGTCTCTTTGTGGCTACAGAGAAAAAAAAAGCTGTGTTAAATCCCCCTCAGGACACCCTTTGGGGGTGGGGGGGTGCACTGAGACCTATAGTGCAAGATTCGGGCAAATGTTCAGTTGTTTTGAATTTCTGTTTCTTCATTTGAAAAATGGGATAACAGTATTTATATCCTTCAGTTCATTCATTAACATTTGTTAATCACCAAGCATGGAGTATAATGGTGACTGAGATGGTTCCTGCACACTCAGAGTTTATGTAGCAAAAGCAGACCAATAATTATACCAAGTTAACTCATCACATTTGTGCTAAATGCTGAGGAGATACAGGGGTGGTGGGAAGATTAGAAGTAAGGCATGTAAATGCCTGGCATGAATGAAATGGAAGGTTAAGCAGTGGAGTAGGTAAGAACATGTTGGGAATGTACCATGTTAGTGAAGGTTATAGCTCTTAGGAAAGATGCACCCTAAATAAAAACTAAACGATTAAGCCATCATCTAAACTTTCTGGCCATGAATACTTTAGACTGGCTAAATGGCAGGGGACCCTAAAGTATTATCGTATGGTTTGAATGAGGGGAGAAGACAATAGAATAGCTCCCTGGCTCTCCCTTCCCCCACTCTCCCCTCCTGGACAACACTCCCAGAGAGGGGAAAGAAAAAGCTAGGAGGGGAGGCAGCTTCAGGGTCAGAAGTCAGACCAATGGAGGGTGGGTTCCAACCTGGGCAGTCTCATTCCTCTGGAAGCAGTCGCAGCCCCGGGTAGGGGATGGGGGTGAAGGTGGGGCTTCTGACACTCAGTAAGTAGTGGTATTTTCATTAATTAAAAATTTTATTGTGATCTGAGATACAAAGGAGACCAGCATCAAAATTGGGTTATAATAAGCACAGGTTCTCAACAGATTCCTTCTCTCATTCACCTAGTTCTTTCTACTCCATGTCAGAAAGGCCCTAGGCTAGGTGTGGAGGACAAGGTAGGTGACACAGACTGTGCCCCTGTGGAGTTTACAGTCCAGTGTAGGAATAGACACATCAACAACATGTTTCATCACAGAATGGGGAGTGAAACCAGAGGAGAGCACTGGGGCTGTGGGCACAGAGGGGGTACCTCACACAACCAGGGAGGTGAGGGCTTTCTGGGAATGGTACCCCAAATGGCATCCCGACTCACATGCACAATTCCAGAGACTCTACTAGAAGGCTGTCAAGAGCCATGCCTTCTGGCTGCACCAGCCTCCCAGAGTCCCCTGCTGCTCGATGCAGTGTCTGCAGAGCCAAACGCATCTTCAGCCACGCCTCAGCCTCATCCGGCACCGCACGGACCCTCCAAGACTCCTGCAGGAGCCTGCCTTCCCTGGCAAGCTCAGCCAAAAGACCAACTCAAAACTCCTTTGTCAAAGCAAGCTTAGGGCGAGCCACCCGGCTCCAGGTGCCACAACTCGTCCGAGCACCCGTGGCTCCTGCCACCCGGGCCGCTTGGCGAACACTGGCAGGGTTACCTCCCATTAAACCCTTCGCCCAAAAGAAAGTGACCTTCTTCCAGGAGGCCAGCTGGGAGCTTTGGCGAGTCCTCTGCCTGCTCGCTCTCGGCAGAATTAGCCAAACCCAGGGACCTGAGGGGCAGGGCCGGCGTCTCGTGGGTCAGGGGTATGGAGGAGAGAACAGGTAGGCCCTGCTGGGTTCCCACCTCCGTGCAGGAGCTTCACCAGAGTCCCGCGGGCAGCCTGGCGCTCTGCTTCCACCGCCCCGCGGGGCAGGCGAGGAGGGAGGCCCCGAGACCGACGCGAGGGGCACAGCTGCCGAGGGGCAGTGGCTGCAGGCAGTGAGGGGAAGGGGTGGAGCCGCTCTCGGGGGGAAAGGGAAGAGGCTGCGGGCAGCCTTCCAGGCCCCAGCGCCCCGAGATGGCCCGTGGCAAGAAGCAAAGAGAGAGGACCCAAATAAACAAAATCAGAAACGATAGAGGCAAAATAACAACAGACCCCACAGAAATACAAACGATTGTTAAAAAAAATACTATGGACAGCTCTACTTCAACAAACTAGACAACCTGGAGGAAATGGACAAATTCCTAGAAAAATAC